ACACCCATATGGGAAAACTGCATATTCCTGCATTGCAGGGGATTGGACTAGAATCCACAGGATCCCTTCCAACTCTACTACAGTGGTACCTCGGGTTAAGTACTTAACTAGTTCCGGAGGTCCGTTCTTAACCGGAAACTGTTCTTAACCTGAAGCACCACTTTAGTTAATGGGGCCTCCTGCTGCCGCTGCCCGGCTGGAGCACGATTTCTGTTCTCATCCTGAAGCAAAGTTCTTAACCCGAGGTAATATTTCTGGGTTAGGGGAGTCAGTAACCTGCAGTGTATGTAACCCGAGGTACCCACTGTATTCTAAGAAAGGACACGGCTGTGGCAGATCCCACGTGCAGGCACCCTATTGCAAGGGGAGTGCCTTCTGACGTCGATTTCATATTCTGCATCACCGGGAAAGCCACCGAGGTGAAGGAGAGAGAGCAGATCAGCAACCATTGCTTCTCTCTGAAAACAGCGCCGGGTGTCTCTCCGCCTCGCCCAGCCCAGCCCGCCTGGAGGGCACCGAGCACGTGGCTCGCCCAGGCGGGCATTGGGTACGTGCAGCCTGGCACAGGCGCCCCCCACCACCACCATCCTGCCCTGCAGTCCGCCAGCCGCATCCTCGCGCCCTGCCCTTCCCAGCAGCTCCAGAAACGGAGCCCCAGCCAAGCACGGCCCCGTTAGGCAGCCCCTCTCCCCCCCCCGGGGGGACTCGCTCAGGGCTACACTTGCTGCCCCCCCCCCCGCCGCCTTCTGCAGCCGCTGCCCCTTTAAGAGCGCGGGGGAGGGAGGAGTTCCCGGCGCGCTCTCGGGCGCAGCCCTACAAAGCGGGGAGGCAGCTCCCATTTTGCACGCAGTTTGCAGCCAGCGAGACGCATAAGCAGCCAAGATGCCCATGTTCGTGGTCAACACCAACGTGAGCCGGGACGCCGTGCCCGAGAGCCTCCTCGGAGAGCTCACCCAGCAGCTAGCCAAGGCGACCGGCAAGCCAGCCCAGGTGAGAGGGGGTTGGGAAGGAGTGGCACTCTGCGCGCGCTCAGGGGCTTCCTTCCACATCTGATCTCCAAACCTGGAGGCTCCCGCCTGCCCGCCGACGCTCCTTTTCAGCCAGCCAGCTCTCCATCTGCCGGTGGCAGCAACGAGGCGGCTGGGAAGCCGGGTTGGGCGCCTGAATCTGGGCCAGGGAGGGCCCTTTGCAGAGATTTCCGGGCGGAGGAAGCTCCCAGCAGCGGGAGAAGCGAGTTTGCAGAAAGGGTGGGCGCGCGCAAACACATGCAGACTCGGAAAATTGTAGATTTGGAAGAGATCCCCCAAAGCCATCCAGCCCAACCCACTGCGAGGCAGGCATCTCAATACCGTAAACTGCTTTAGCTTTGCAAACGTCTTAGCAGTTTTATTGCTGCACCGCTAGGTGCCACTTTAAAAAAACAAAACTTTAAAGATTTGTATAAGCAATTCCTGGTCCAAAACCTCAACCGCCAGGCGCAGCCATAAAAATACAGTGGTAGCTCAGGTTAAGAACTTAATTCCTTCTGGAGGTCTGTTCTTAACCTGAAACTGTTCTTAACCTGAGGTACCACTTTAGCTAATGGGGCCTGCCACAGCATGATTTTTGTTCTCATCCTGAAGCAAAGTTCCTAACCTGAGGTACTATCCCTGGGTTAGCAGAGTCTGTAACCTGAAGCGTCTGTAACCCGAGGTACCACTGTATTTCGTTTGCTGCCTCCTCCCTCCGCAGTACATCGCCATCCACATCGTGGCTGACCAGCTGATGTCCTTCGGAGGCTCCTCTGATCCCTGTGCCCTCTGCAGCCTCCACAGCATCGGCAAGATTGGCGGGCAGCAGAACAAGGCCTACACGAAGCTGCTGTGTGAGCTGCTGACCAAGCACCTGCACATACCTGCAGACAGGTGAGCTGCAAGCCGAGAGGCCGTGCTGGCTGGGAAGGGAGCATCTGTGTTGAATTGCAGGGTGTTATTCTCTGAAGGCTAAAAGCCAAGCAGCCCAGGGGCTGGTCACTGCTGAACGCATGTCCGGCAACCACATTTCTAAAAAAGCACTTGCATCTCATAAAAGAGCAGGAAGGACCATGTCAGCAGCACAGAAGTGACCTCCCTGGGGAACAAGCCTGGGCAGTGTGCATTGAGGTCCTGGGCTGCCCAGACAACAGGACCTTGCTGATGTGGTCCAAAGGAAAACAGAGCAATATGTTTGGCACCAGCTTGGCTCCAGGAGTTTCTAGAAAGAGGCGTACAGTGGTACGTCGGGTTAAGAACTTAATTCGTTCTGGAGGTCCGTTCTTAACCTGAAACTGTTCTTAACCTGAAGCACCACTTTAGCTAATGGGGCCTCCCACTGCTGCCGTGCCACCGGAGCATGATTTCTGTTCTCATCCTGATGCAAAGTTCTTAACCCAAGGTACTATTTCTGGGTTAGCGGAGTCTGTAACCTAAAGCGTCTGTAACGCGAGGTACCACTGTACAAGGCACCATCCAACTGTATCAGGTTCTTCACAGCAGTAAAATGCCACAGGGTGGTGGACTGCATCTCAGCTGAAGAACATTTGCAGGCAGGAGCATCTCCCAAGTTAGGCTGAAAGAGACTCCTTGCTGAAACCCAAGAGAGCCATTGCTTGCCCACCAAACTAATAAGCCAGCTGGAGCCAATGTCTGACTCATCGAGCAGCTTCCTATGTTCATCAAAAGCAGTGCAGAGGTCCCATGATGAAAGAGAAGCAAGACTGTCGGGAACTAGGGAGTCATTTCTTGCAGTGTTAGGATTCTCCTCCAGCAAAGATGGGGGAACATGTGTCGCTTAACTCCAGCTCCCATTACTCCTGCTTCGTGACCACACTTGAGTCCTAGCATCTCAAGAGGTACACGTTCCCCATCCATGCCTTACCTGGGCAGGTGTGGGAGCCACGTGTAACGCTGGTGCTCTCTTGGGCTGATTTTTGCTGTTTTGCTTCTTTTGTAGAGTCTACATCAACTACTGTGACATGAACGCCGCTAACGTGGGTTGGAACGGCTCCACCTTTGCCTAGTCTGCTCCTTCCTGCCTAGCCACCTGGTGGACCTGCTGCCCCCTTGTGTTTGCCGGCAATCACTACCACCTCTTCCTTCCTCTCCCCCCCACCCCTTCCTTTCGATGGTTCTTTTTAGCAGAGCCTATTGCATGCATCCAGTTTCCGAAATGCAAATAAAAGCTCTGGCGAAAGCTCTGCAAGTGCAAAGTGTTTCTGTGATAGGGGGTGGGGGTGGGCCTAACGAGATTGAGGAGGAGGAGTTCTATTTTGCAGGGGCCTTTGAGATGGCAGACTGCTGGGTCTCGCTGTTGCGGTTAGTTGTTAGTTCAGTAGAGGTACTAATGCTGTTGGCATACTAGACATGCCATGATCTCCCCCCCCCCCAAGAATCCCAGGAGTCACACTTTCTTAAGGGCGTTGGGAATTGTAGTTCTGTGAGGAGTAAACTATAGTTCCCAAGATTCTTTATGGGAGGCATGTGCTTTAAATGTATGGTGTGCACACAGCCTAAATTACCAACAGGGGCTTGAAATGGGCCGATGCAGCCCACTCCAGCCACTCCCATGCTCTGGACTAGGGATCTGGTACTCCAACAACACCCGGAGGACTGTATCTCGCATCCCCCCTTTATACCGGCCATCCAGTTTGGGGCCAATAGGAGGATGGAGCTCACTGACCTCCAGAGGGCCGCGGGTCCCCTAGATCTGCTTGCGTATCTGTGCTGAATACACCTGCAAAGTATTAAGCAGCTCCTGTAGAGTGTGAGGAGCAATGCTGTTGGTTGATCTCTCGGGTATACAGAAAAATGGGGTCCCAATCTTTTGCCATTTCTTTTGGAGGGGGGGGAGCTCCACCTGGTAATGCACAAAACTCCCAAAGCCTGCCTGCAAATTGCTCCTTGACCACTGTAATGCTTGGCTGACCTTCCAAAGCAAACACGAAACATCCTGCATTCCTGTTCTCGCACTGGCTAAACAGATGCTGCTGCTGCTTCTTTGCCGATCACTTGTACCCAAGAAAGATTGTCTTCCATAAACACGGTTTTAACAGTGAGTCCGTAAGTGACTGTGGAGGCCAATTCTGGATCCACATGTCCTTCCACAGCTGGGACATAGGTTTCCAGGTGGGAGTTGATCACGGTGAGGATTTGCCAAACATGCCTTCCTCTTGGCACGTTTCTCCCTTTCGTCGTGAGTTCGAGCATCTTCAAAGCCCATGACACCTTTGGTAAAGGCTGTTCTCCAACTGGAGCGCTCGCAGGCCAGTGTTTCCCAGTTGTCAGTGTCTATACAGTGGTACCTCGGGTTAAGTACTTAATTCATTCCGGAGGTCCGTTCTTAACCTGAAACTGTTCTTAACCTGAAGCACCACTTTAGCTAATGGGGCCTCCCGCTGCTGCTGCACCGCTGGAGCACAATTTCTGTTCTCATCCTGAAGCAAAGTTCTTAACCTGAGGTACCATTTCTGGGTTAGCAGATTCTGTAACCTGAAGCGTATGTAACCCAAGATACCACTGTACTGTACTACATTTTTTAAGATTTGCCTTGAGAGCGTCTTTAAACCTCTTTTGTTGACCACCAGCATTACACTTTCCATTTTAAAGTTCGGAATAGAGCAGTTGCTTTGGAAGACGATGATCGGGCATCCGCACATCATGACCAATCCCACACCGTTAGTCACACTGGCTAAACAGATGTAACACCTCCCACCACCCCACCCCCGGAAGGCTCAAAAGGGAGGCTTCCTTTGCCCCCTCCCCGATTCCGCCCAAATTCCCTTTGGGCTGCCGTTACTCCTGGCTGGAGCGGGTTCCCACGGGCGCCCCTTTCCCGCGCGCCTCTCTCTCCACGCCGGCCTCCCGCGTTGCCAATTGTGAATGGGGAGAGCACAGTCGCCCGACATTGGCCAGCGCAGGCATTGCGTCACTCGGCAGCGACAGGAACCGAGTTCACACCAGCCACGAGGCGGCGCGCCTCATCTGCATACCTCGGCCCTGATTGGCCGCCTTCCGCAAGCTGCCGATGTCGTAATCGTTAAGGGACGGCGGAGGCGAAAGAGCAGGCATGGCGCTTTTCGTCGTCCACAGGTGAGAAGGGGGCCGGACATGCGGCCCGCGGCTGCCTAGTTCGGGTCCAGGCGGCGCTGAGGCTTCCGCGAACGAGCCCCGGGTGGGACCGTGAGGGAGGAGGCCGAGGGGGCTTCGCTGCCGCTTGGGCTGCGGGCGAATGTGGATGTTTGGCTTGAAATTCGAGCCCAGGTGGGAGTGGGAAAGGGGCTCCATGGTCAGATGACAGCGGTGGCGGCAAAGATGACTTCCACTGCAGCCCCTCAAAGCACTTTTTAAGGACTTGGAGGTGCGGCTGGCAGCATCAGCATCATTACTATTATTTACCCCCTTCATCCGAAGATCGCAGGGCGGTTCACAATGCAATCATAACAATGCAATCATACAGATGCATAATCAAAGAACCAACCAATAACCCCAACCCCGATACAGTGGTACCTCAGGTTACATACACTTCAGGTTACATACGCTTCAGGTTACAGACTCCGCTAACCCAGAAATAGTACCTCGGGTTAAGAACTTTGCTTCAGAATGAGAACAGAAATCGTGCTCTGGCGGTGCGGCGGCAGCAGGAGGCCCCATTAGCTAAAGTGGTGCCTCAGGTTAAGAACAGTTTCAGGTTAAGAACGGACCTCTGGAACGAATTAAGTACTTAACCCGAGGCACCACTGTACATTTAAAAGGCCATGAACTTATTTAATCAGCCAAAGTCCTCATTATGGAGGAGCTCTTTTGCCTGGCGCCTAAAGATATGTAATGAAGGCGTCAGGTGAGCCTCCCAGGGTAGAGCATTCCACAAGTGGGAAGCCACCACAGAAAAGGCCCGTTCTTGTGTTGCCACCCTCCAGACTTCTCGTGGAGGGGGCACATGAAGAAGGGCCTCGGAGGATGATTGCAGGGTCTGGGTCAGTTCATACGGGGCAGGTTTTTTAATTGTTTTTATTGAATTTATATACCGCCCTATACTCACAGGTCTTAGGGCAGTTCCCAGAATAAAATCAGAATATAAAACCACAAATCCATGAATCAAAATAAAAACAACAACCCAATAAATGAATAACCCTGTCCTTGGTCCTTAAGGTATTGTGGTATATGGAACAGCAGGACGCTGTAAAGTTGGTGTCAGTAGCGGCACTGGAAGAGAAGTGATTGACTCATTTCAGGCTGTTTTTTATCAGAATTATGCACAAGAATTCCCACCATCATAAATTATGAAGGCATTTAATCAACTTTTCCTGTTCTCTGGCTACAGTCATCTTCACAGCTTTCCTCCAATTGTGTTTCTTTTTTAAAAAAAATATTAATAAACTAATATGGCAGGAGACTAATCCTTTGTAGCGTAGCCCACTGTTGTTATGGCTAATTTCTCTCAGCATCTCCTGCCCCCATGCAGTACTATTTATATATATATATATATATAAATCTACGAAAGCATATATATATATAATATATATATTAAAGCATATATATATATATATATATATGCAGGTTTTGGTGTCCTCGGGTGTCTTCCCGTGTAAAAGTTGGGGTGTCTAGACAACGTTTCGACGAGGTCTCACTCGTCATCTTCAGGCTGGTGCTTTCGGCTTCTTGTTACTGGAACAGAGCAGGATCTCAGTGTTTGAGTTCCTATAAATACTGTTGAGGGGGTGTGGTGTATAGCCTTCAATGTTCTGGGCAGAGAGGAAGTTCCCAGGCTAGTGTGCCTTTTCTTCTTTTGTTCCTTAATTGCTTGAGGGATATCTTGAGTGATTTCTTGAGTGATATTCTGAGTACCACTTAGGTGGGTCATTAGGTGTGGATTAGTTGCTAAAGCCTTCGTGTCTTGACCTCTTGAACTTTGTGAAGAGTTTTTCTGAGAAGATGGCTGTACTGCACTTAGTTGTGCTCTGGCTTGGCTTCGTGTATAGGGGCGAGCTGTGGTTTTGTGCCCTGTGCCAGCCAGATCTGTGTAGGGATTGCAGGGGGGTGCAGCATCCGGAGGTGCCACCATGGTTTGGCTACTGGATGGTGTCTGTAATTTATCTGTGGAGAGGGTCTGGGTTTGGGTCTGGTGTGGTTGATTGGTGATGGCGTTCTGTGTGCCTCTGGATCTGGTGTCGGTTTTTGTGGGGAGGGCTAATTTCCAGATGTCTGGCAGGCGGGACGTGTCGTCACGCTTGTTCATGTTGTGAGGGTGTTTCTCTATCTCGATGGCTTCCATGATTATTCTCTTGTGGTGATGTTCCATGTTAAAGAGCCTTTGTACACCTTTGTAATTTGGCCACACGGGAAGGAAAAACTAGATAGCTTCCTCACACATCTCAACAGCCTACACCCCAAAATACAATTCACTATGGAAATAGAAGCCAACAACCAACTTCCCTTCCTTGACGTCCTAATCTACAAAAAACCTGATGGCTCCCTAGGACACACTATCTACCGGAAAAAAACACACACCAACCGCTACTTACATGCACAATCACACCACCACCCTGCACAAATAAACTCCGTAGCCAAGACTCTCATCTCCAGAACCAAACGCCTGGCTGACAAAGACCACTTGACAACTGAGTTACAGAATCTCTCAAATGTGTTAATCGCCAATGGATACCAGCAAAACAGGGTTACGAAGCTAATCCAAAAAGAAACACCCCCCAAAAACCAAGACACAGAAGAAAACAATGGCATGGCCCTCCTTCCTTATATCAAGGGCACTACAGATAAAATTAGCAAAATCCTCCATAAACACAATATCAAAACAGCCTTTTGCACCAACCAAAAAATAGCCAATATCCTCAGAAACCCCAAAGATAAAATCCAGTTGGAAAACCAAGGGGTCTATGAAATACCCTGCAAAGTCTGCCCAGCCACGTACATTGGACAAACAAACAGACGAATAAATGCACGTATCGCAGAACACAAGAATGCCGTCAAAAAAGAAGAAAAAACTTCCTCTCTTTTCCAACACATGAAAGAAACAGGACACGAAATTAATTTTGCAGATTCCAAATTGCTCTTTAACATGGAACATCACCACAAGAGAATAATCATGGAAGCCATCGAGATAGAGAAACACCCTCACAACATGAACAAGCGTGACGACACGTCCCGCCTGCCAGACATCTGGAAATTAGCCCTCCCCACAAAAACCGACACCAGATCCAGAGGCACACAGAACGCCATCACCAATCAACCACACCAGACCCAAACCCAGACCCTCTCCACAGATAAATTACAGACACCATCCAGTAGCCAAACCATGGTGGCACCTCCGGATGCTGCACCCCCCTGCAATCCCTACACAGATCTGGCTGGCACAGGGCACAAAACCACAGCTCGCCCCTATACACGAAGCCAAGCCAGAGCACAACTAAGTGCAGTACAGCCATCTTCTCAGAAAAACTCTTCACAAAGTTCAAGAGGTCAAGACACGAAGGCTTTAGCAACTAATCCACACCTAATGACCCACCTAAGTGGTACTCAGAATATCACTCAAGAAATCACTCAAGATATCCCTCAAGCAATTAAGGAACAAAAGAAGAAAAGGCACACTAGCCTGGGAACTTCCTCTCTGCCCAGAACATTGAAGGCTATACACCACACCCCCTCAACAGTATTTATAGGAACTCAAACACTGAGATCCTGCTCTGTTCCAGTAACAAGAAGCCGAAAGCACCAGCCTGAAGATGACGAGTGAGACCTCGTCGAAACGTTGCCTAGACACCCCAACTTTTACACGGGAAGACACCCGAGGACACCAAAACCTGCATTCCTGTACCCGTGAAAATCTACGAAAGCAAATATATATATATATATATATATATATATATATATATATATATATATATATATAATATATATTAAAGTTTCAAAAGTTATATAAAAGAAAAACAGTAATACAAACAAAACACAAACAAAAACAAGTATAATTTCAATCCCTTATTTTCTTATAACTTACTTCCCCGACCTCCTCATACCTCCCCTTTCTGTATTCCAATTTCTAATTCATTAGTTCAGCAAATCCTCTCCCTTAATTTTACTTAATTTTTGACCTTTCTTTTCTTTTTACTTAATCATTACAGCTGACAACCACTTAATTTCTAAAATCAACATCGTTCTAACATTCATTAATTTTACAATGTTTCCTGAGATAGTCTTTACATTTCTTCCAATCTTCTTCCGCCGTCTCTCTTCCCTGGTCACGGATTCTGCCAGTCATTTCTGCCAGTCCCATATAGTCTATCACCTTCATCTGCCATTCTTCCAAAGTGGGTAGATCTTGTGTCTTCCAATACTTTGCAATGAGTATTCTTGCTGCTGTTGTAGCATACATAAAGAATGTTCTATCCTTCTTTGGCACCAATTGGCCGACCATACCCAGGAGAAAAGCCTCTGGTTTCTTCAAAAAGGTATATTTAAATACCTTTTTCATTTCATTATATATCATTTCCCAGAAAGCCTTAATCCTTGGGCATGTCCACCAAAGGTGAAATAATGTACCTTCAGTCTCTTTACATTTCCAGCATTTATTATCAGACAAGTGGTAAATTTTTGCAAGCTTAACTGGGGTCATGTACCACCTATAAATCATTTTCATAATATTTTCTTTTAAGGCATTACATGCCGTACTATTATAACACCACTGGTCTACTTTGCAGAGCTGTGGTCAATCAGAGCTCACCCCACCCTCCCATGTATTATCCATGCTCTGGCAATCTCCCAAAGTGTCCCTGAAACTTCCCCTGGTCCAAACCACTACTGTGGTTTTCAACTGGAGAAGAGTGAATAGGCAAAAATTAAAATACAGCAAATCAGTATGTCTTAACCACCCACCTAAAAATAAAAAATGAAGGTGCCCAATTTAACTTTTTTGGGGGGAGAGTTCCACTGTTGGGGTGCTGCCACCAAAGAAAACCCTTGTTAGTGGAGTACTGAAACTATTGTGAAATCCACAGGTATCGTGGTGATGAAGACAATGACCTCGAAGACCACTCGCAAGTGCTCCTGCGACAGCTGAAAGAACGGGTAAGAGCTCGACAGCAGCAAAAGCAGCAGCAGGATGATCACATGCCTGCAGAAAGTGGACCAGATAATGAAATGCCTGACTTGGACTTGGAGAAGGAAGCAAAGCAGAAATCCAAAAAGAGGAAGCAAACTGAGGAATCTCCTTTTATAGAAGACCAGAGAAAGAGAAAGAAGAAATTATCCACTGAAGGGGATGAAGGTGTGGAAGAGAAAGACAATGATCTTAGTCCAAGAAGAAGTAAAACAAGTGGAAAGGAATCAAAGACACCACAAGGAAGGACTGATGGAGGGGAAGGTAAAATAAATTGTGGGTGGAAACTGGGAGCTACATTCAGTCTCCATCACTTCTGGGAAGTGCTCAGTCAACAATATGATTGTATCTGCTCAGGCCACACACACACCCCAGATCAGGCCAGTGATGCTCATCTTATAGAGATAGGAAGGCACAGTCTAAGAATAAATGTGTACCATAAAGATTGGCTCTGACTTCCGGAATGAAGGGAAGGGCTGTGGTTCAGCCGTAGAGCACCTGCTTTGCATGCAGAAGGTTCCAGGTTCAGTCTGGGATATCCTGGTAGGGCTGGGGGTGTCCTCTGTCTGGGGAGCCTCTGCCAGTCAGTGTAAACGAGGAGTGGGGAACTTCTGATCTTCTGGATGTTGCCAGACCACAACCTCCCAGCAGCCCTAGGTAGCATGGTCAATGGCCAGGGATGATGGGAGTTCTAGTTCAGCAACATCTCAAGGACCAAAGGTTCCTCTCACTCATTGTAGACAAAACTGAGCTAGGTAGACCCTTGTGGTCTGACTTAGTCTAAGGCAGCTTCCTAATGAGAATCATAATACAGGAAGAGTTTGTTTTTTATTCAAAGTATTTTTGGCCTACTCTTTATCTGAGAAACACTCCCAGAGTAGCTTACCATATTCAGGAATAACGCAATATCTGTTCAAGAGAAGCCATCAGTAGGGATTTCTGCTCCCCCAGTGTGGCGTGTTCAGCAAAACTCCTGTTGTGTCTCTCATGAATCACTTTCTCCCACCTTCTCTTGCCTCTTGTGTGAGCAGCTGCTGGTATGGATATGCCCTCACTTCTCTCCTTGAGACTCCTACTTGCTATAAAGTGGGCAGCTGCCTGCTTCTTTGGCTCTGTTAATTGGCACTAGGAGGGGTGGGATGAGCGGGGGGGGGCGGTGAGACAGACTCCTTTCTGTGTACTTTTGGACCCTTTCCCAAATTGAGCCCAACCATTCCCCCCATCCCCAGCTCACCTTTTCCTCTCTTTTTTTGAAAATGCCATAAGCACATCTTTTTCTTAAACTCAAATCATTTGTCTTGTTCATGTTGCTTTTACCAGGAAGTGAAATTAAGTTAGCAAGCCAACTAGAACATGACGGCTCAGCAGGAGAGAAGGAGGATGGCTTGGAAGCCAGAGCAAATGAGAGCCATGGTGAAAAGGAGTCACCGCCGGATCCAAAGGAAACCCCCCCACCTCCCAACACAATTGTTCTTGGTGACTGGGTTTGGAAGGCAGCGCAGAAGAAGAAGGTAGCTGACTTAAGTCTTAGCCAATAGTCTGTTATCAACATGCTTTGCTCCCAGTCTTTGTCAAAGGCTCAGCCACACTGCGCTGCTGTGAGGTCAGTGATGCTTCCTTACTGAAGCAACACTTGGAGGGTCAAGGTGACGGCTGGGTTTGGCTATCTGTTCAATATGGGGATTGGAAACCTGTGGCGCTCCCTAGATGATGCTGAACTACAACTCCCATGATCCCTGAATATTGGTCATGACAGGTGTGACTGATGGGGGTTGGAATCCAACAACAGCTGGGGGAGCTGCAGATCGCCCTACCCACCGCTAATGTTAATATTAATAATAAACAAATGTATAGCTTGCTTCATATCACAGAGCCATCAAAGCCTTTGTTTGGTGCCTGAGCATAAAAGGTAAAGGGACCCCTGACCATTAGGTCCAGTTGTGACCGACTCTGGGGTTGCGGCACTCATCTCGCTTTACTGGCCAAGGGAGCCAGCGTACAGCTTCTGGGTCATGTGGCCAGCATGACTAAGCCACTTCTGGTGAACCAGAGCAGTGCACGGAAACGCCATTTACCTTCCCGCCTATTTATCTACTTGCACTTTGACGAGCTTTCGAACTGCTAGGTTGGCAGGAGCAGGGACTGGGCAACAGGAGCTCACCCCGTCGCGGGAATTCGAGCAGCCAACCTTCTGATTGGCAAGTCCTAGGCTCTGTGGTTTAACCCACAGGGCCACCCGCGTCCCACAACGTGCCTGAGCATAGCAGCCTTTTAATTCTTTTACCCCTTTAGTTTCCTCTCTTTTTCGACAACGGGGACCAAACCTTGTTGAAGCTCAATAGAGGGAGATTCCATGGAAGCAAAACCTTTCAGCTGGGGCATTGGGCCTGATTTGCCCTCAGGCTGGAGTTGCAATGTTCCTTGTGGCATCTGGTGGGGGCAGAGGTTTGTGTGCCCACATCACACATCACATGTGCGTCTGTCATTTCCAGGTGGAGCCTCTTCTGCCACGCTGGCTGGCTGAACCTAAGCTGGTCCAGAGGCGGATCAAAGAGAACGTTGTCCCACTCCAAGATGTTCCAGTAATCCATCCAAAATTGAGGAAGAAACTGCAAGCAAATGGAATAGAGTCGTTGTTTCCAGGTATCGCCATAGTGGGAAAATTTTCCTCTTCCATGCTTTTAAACCCATATCTAGAAGATGGCCAGAGTTTGGGAGATGGATGGATGCCAGTGGTTTGTGCCTAGAAGACAGGGACCTCTGCTCTTTAAATGAACGTTGGTGGGAGTCGCTCCCATCGGTGCTTCAGTTGTAACCTCTCTGCAGTGTTTGATGTGGTGTCAAACTGAGGAAGCACAGTTTTATCCACAGCAAATTATTTAGCTAGGCTAGAATGTCAATGAAATACCTGGATGTAAACGTGGACCTGCATCTCTCATCCCACAGCAAGTTCCACCTCAAGTGTGTGGATCCATTTGCATATGATGAGAAAGAAGCAACCCCACCTTTCTCAGAACTCTGGTGCAAAGGAGCCAGAGGGCTGTAGGTATTCTTCACGACACCCTGTTAAACAAATTCTGCCCAGAAATAAATGACCCAGCTGCTGCCCCTGGGCCTTTGTTCTGGGTGCTCCAGGAATCTCTCTATAAAGAGATCAAGGGTGAATCCCCAAGACACCTGAGTGCCCACAAATACTTTCCATAGGACCACTCCCCCTCCACTTCAAGGGAGCTGTTCCTGGAGGAAGAACTGTGAGGGGAGAGACTCCATCAGGCAAGGCCGCCTTCCACCTGCCTTGGCCCACCCTCTGCTTCTCAATATGTATTGTTTTATGTACTGTGGCTTGCCGTTGTTTTATTGATTATAGTTTAGATATTATTGTAACTGCTAAGTGGATTTCTGTTTAACTTTTATATGTTGATATATTATTTTATACGATTCTAATGATTGTTGAATGTTACTCTTTTTGATGGAGGTTGCCCATTTTAAAGTTATGCTTTGTTATCACATTTTTGTATTGCATTGGATTGTTATAAGATGTACATTTTTTTGTTTCTTCAGCTTGTAAACCGCCTTGAGTATTGTAAGATAGAAAGGCAGTATACAAATTAAAAATGATAATGATGGCAATTCCAAGCTCTCTCTCTTTTGTATGGTGAGGCTAGGCTAGAGTTGACAGAGCTGGAGAGGAGACTTAAAAGTGGATTCATTGATGGAATGTGAAGCGTATAAACATTTGGAAGGTGAAAAAGTGTAGGCAAAGGAGAAAGATGGCTCGGTTTTCTTGCTGGTGGCCACCAAGTCCTTGGCAGGAGAGAAAGTAGTATACAAATTCCAAAACCACCTTGAAACCTCTCCCATCCTCCTTTTCCTCTTCCTTCCTTTAAGTGGGGGGGGGGATGTTGTTGGGGTGTGTGCTGATCCTGACTGCTCTTTTTCTTCAGTTCAGGCCGAGGTGATTCCAGCCATCTTGGAAAGCGGGTTTTTGGCCGGGAGAGGTGGCTACCAGCCCAGTGATATCTGTGTCTCAGCCCCCACCGGCAGTGGCAAGACCCTGGCCTTTGTCATTCCGGTGGTGCAGGTGAGTTTGGGCGAAGTGGAGAGCTGCTGGCTGGGTGTGTGTTCTGTGCCAAAGTAGCCTCCAGCTGTGCCACCCAGTGTGGGCTGCTTTAAGACTTTGTGCAAGAGTAGTATCAGGTGGTGACTTTGGAGAGAGCTGTCAAAGGATCCCAGCCTTGGGATGTGACTTACGTATTTTTTGCTTATAAGACACTTTCCCTCTAAAGTAAGGAAATTGTGTGCGTTTATGAGAATGGCTGTGCATGCTATCACAGAGCCAGACAGCAGAGATTGCTTTCACTGCTCAGCGATTCTTGCGTTCTGGATGATATATTTTTCTTGTTTCTCCTCAAAAACTGGAGTGTGTTTGTGTCTGGTGCGTTTTATAGACGAAATACGTAGCTGGTCTTTAGCTCTCTTGGTTGCTTTCCCCACACCCATTTGTGTAGACTGAGGAGCAAGAGACACCCATCTCTTCCTGATCGCTGGCCTTTGTATTTTCAGGCTCTGTTAGACCGAGTCGTCTGCCGGGTACGAGCTCTGGCCGTCCTCCCCACCAAGGAACTGGCCCAGCAGGTGCGTTACTGAGGAGAGATTTGTTGGTTGGGGGGGGGCTTTTGACTCCAGCTGTGAGTTCATCCCAATTGGATTCTCCAATGTGTAGGATGTGTGGTCAGCCCCAGAAATGTGTTAACTAGACTGGATTAACAGTACAGTAGTACCTTAGGTTAAGTACTTAATTCGTTCCGGAGGTCCGTACTTAACCTGAAACTGTTCTTAACCTGAAGCACCACTTTAGCTAATGGGGCCTCCTGCTGCCGCTGCGCCGCCAGAACAGGATTTCTGTTCTCATCCTGAAGCAAAGTTCTTAACCTGAAGCACTATTTCTGGGTTAGCTGAGTCTGTAACCTGAAGCGTCTGTAACCTGAAGCGTATGTAACCTGAAGCGTATGTAACCTGAGGTACCACTGTACTACACAGTCTTGTTCTTCAGATTTTATACCGCTGCCCCCCTTACAAATACTCACTGCATAAGTTTAGCCTTTGTACCCTTCTCTCCCTCCCTCATTATGCTAGAAATCAAGATTCCCCCAGTTTAAGGGATCAGCGGTAAATTCAAGACAGGCAAATATGTTGTTTAGTCGTTCAGTTGTGTCCGACTCTTCGTGACCCCATGGACCAGAGCACGCCAGGCACTCCTGTCTTCCACTGCCTCCCGCATTTTGGTCAAACTCATGCTGGTAGCTTCAAGAACACTGTCCAACCATCTCGTCCCCTTCTCCTTGTGCCCTCCATCTTTCCCAACATCAGGGTCTTTTCCAGGGAGTCTTCTCTTCTCATGAGGTGGCCAAAGTATTGGAGCCTCAGCTTCACGATCTGTCCTTCCAGTGAGCACTCAGGGCTAATTTCCTTAAGAATGGATACGTTTGATCTTCTTGCAGTCCATGGGACTCTCAAGAGTCTCCTCCAGCACCATAATTCAAAAGAATCAATTCTTCGGCGATCAGCCTTCTTTATGGTCCAGCTCTCACTTCCATACATCACTACTGGGAAAACCATGGCTTTAACTATACGGACCTTTGTTGGCAAGGTGATGTCTCTGCTTTTTAAGATGCTGTCTAGGCCTGTCATTGCCCTTCTCCCAAGAAGCAGGCGTCTTTTAATTTCATGACTGCTGTCACCATCTGCAGTGATCATGGAGCCCAAGAAAGTAAAATCTCTCGCTGCCTCCATTTCTTCCCCTTCTATTTGCCAGGAGGTGATGGGCCCAGTGGCCATGATCTTCGTTTTTTTGATGTTGAGCTTCAGACCATATTTTGCGCTCTCCTCTTTCACCCTCATTAAAAGGTTCTTTAATTCCTCTTCACTTTCTGCCATCAAGGTTGTGTCATCTGCATATCTGAGGTTGTTGATATTTCTTCTGGCAATCTTAATTCCGGCTTGGGATTCATCCAGCCCAGCCTTTCGCATGATGAATTCTGTTGTTGTTTTTTTATAATAATATTTTATTAGGTTTAACAATAATGAAAATCCACAACAATCAAACAAAGAACACTAAAAACACAGGGGGAAATATAAAACACAACAATACAAAGTTTCACAATACAAAAAATACAAACATTTAACCTAACAGGTGAAAAGAAAGAGTCAATAAACACACAAAAAGGAAAAACACAAATCCCTCTTTTCTATTTGCTCATCTTTGATTCACTTATTTTCCTGACTTCCTCACGGCTCCCTTTTTTGTATCCCTCTTAAAAGTTGGTTCAGCAAATTCATCCAATTACTTTATCCTTAATTATTTTACCTCCCAAATTTATAATTTATAATTTTTGTCTATCTTTTTACTAGAGCCCCTTCATTTCATTTCAATGTCATCAGCATTCATACATTTTACAATGTTTCTGTAAATAAATTTTAAATTTCCTCCAATCTTCTTCCACCGACTCTTCTCCCTGATCTCGGATTCTGCCAGTCATCTCGCATGATGAATTCTGCATATAAGTTAAATAAGCAGGGAGACAATATACAGCCTTGCCGTACACCTTTCCCAATTTTGAACCAATCAGTTGTTCCATATCCAAATATAGATAAGTATAATTTTTTAACTCTCACAGTGCACCGTACTGCCCCCAGAAGCTGTGACCCTCACCAGTCACTGGCTCAGATGAGAGGGAATTCACAGAGCAGCCGAGGCCTGTCTCCAGGTACGAGGCAGGATGGCTAAATAGAACCTCTGGGTTCAGAAGCAGTCTACCTCAGAATACAGTGGTACCTCGCAAGACGAATGCCCCGCAAGACAAAAAACTCGCTAGACGAAAGGGTTTTTTGTTTTTTGAGCTGCTTCGCAAGACGATTTTCCCTATGGGCTTGCTTCGCAAGACGGAAACGTCTTGCAAGTTTGTTTCCTTTTTCTTAACACCGTTAATACAGTTGCGACTTGACTTCGAGGAGCAACTCACAGAACGCGGTGTGGTAGCCTTTTTTGATGTTTTTAAAGACTTTGGTGAGTTTTTGAAGCTTTTCCAAAACTTTCCCGACACCGTGCTTCGCAAGACGAAAAAAATCGCAAGACGACAAAAACTCGCGGAACGAATTAATTTCGTCTTGCGAGGCACCACTGTACCAGTCAGGGAAGGCCCATTACCTTCCTGCCTTCGGGGGGGGGGAGCTGTTGCAGAAGCATCTGTTAGGCTCTGTAAGTAGAAGCAACAACACAGGAGAAGGGCCCTGCTGAACCCGTCGCCACGTGTCAGAAGTGCAAAGGACCAGGCATTTTGGGCGCTGTCAAGAGCCGGATTTTTGCCTTTGCTCTTCTTGCCTCAAGTTTGGCCCTGAAGGTGTGTTTTGTGCCTTGCTGCTCCTGAGAGGCAACCCGGTTCCCTCTAGGCCACTGATTCTCTCCTCTCCACAGGTGACTAAAGTATTCAACATTTACACTGACGGGACAGGGCTGAAAGTGGTCCAGCTCACCGGGCAGAAATCGTTTGCAAAGGAGCAGGAGTCGCTCGCCGAGGAGACGTAAGTTCACCTTCTCTTTGTTTGGCTTTGCACGCCACCCTCCTCCTCGCGTCTTGGCCCAGGAAGCCGAGCCCACAGGTGGAACAGCAGCAGCCGAGGCCTCCATCTTCTTCCTTAGCAATGGGCGCAAGTGGGAGGTTGTCTGGTGCTGCTGCTTCTCCGTGAATCACACTCCTCCTCTTCACTGCCTCTGGTGCTTCTTTTTCCAGGCTGATGGGATTTCGCAGCCTGGCAGACATTGTCGTGGCCACTCCTGGGCGCCTCGTGGATCATCTTCAGCAGAGCCCCCAGTTCAGCCTGAAAGAACTTCGCTTCCTGGTGAGAGGAATCCCTCTTCCCCCCTCATGTTTGGGGATTGCATCACATGCAGTGTTGTGGCTGGAAGGGCCCTTATAAGGCAGCGGCTTCCAAAGTGGGCATTCCTGCCCCCCAGGGGGAGGGAATTACCTAGAGGGACACTTAGAGGCAGGGGTAAATTACTTTTAAAAAGCTGGCATCAGTGGGTCAGGTTCATCAGTTTTGTTGAATCAATTAAACTAAATAGTTTTAACTGGATTTTGAATAAATGTGCAATTAATTGTTGCTGTACAGTGGTACCTCGGGTTACATACGCTTCAGGTTACATACGCTTCAGGTTACAGACTCCGCTAACCCAGAAATAGTGCTTCAGGTTAAGAACTTTGCTTCAGGATAAGAACAGAAATCGGGCTTTGGCGGTACGGCGGCAGCAGGAGGCCCCATTAGCTAAAGCGCTGCTTCTGGTTAAGAACAGTTTCAGGTTAAGTACGGACCTCCGGAACGAATTAAGTACTTAACCCGAGGTACCACTGTATTGAATTTTATTGTGCTATTACCTTCCGTAGAGGGTCATGCAAACTGCTACAGTGATACCTCGGTTCTCGAACATAATCCATTCCGGAAGATCGTTCGACTTCCAAAACCGAGGCGTAAAAGGCAAATGCAATTGAGAAAATGGAAAAGCACACAGCGGAAGCTGTTCAACTTCTGAGGCACGTTCGAAAATGGAAGCATTTACTTCCGGGTTTTCGGCATTAGGGTTCCGAAACGTTCGACAACGGAGACGTTTGAGAACCGAGGTACCACTGTATTCTGAACGCTTTTTGTAGGGTAGGGGACACAGGAGATGAGTTTATGGAACCAAGGGGGCGGTGGGTGGGAAAAGTTAGGGAACTGCTGATATAAGGGGTTGGGGTGGTGGACTGTGACACGGTGTCCCTGTTACATAAAATGTGACCTATAATAGCCTCATAACTTGCATTGCTTCCTTCGCCCGCAAATGTCCGTTCTTTAACGCACGATTCAGCCAGCTGCTTCCTGGATGAAAGCGCCTTTCTCGCTGGCCCTGCTTTGAGGCTCCCCTCCCTGCAGGCTGGGCTCACAATCCCACGCAGCTCCACCACGAGTGTAAACGCAACGGGACTCCTCAGGCCAAAGGAACCCCCCCCTTCAAAACCCTTCTCCCCCTCCCAGCAGATCTTGGCAAGACAATGCCAGCGACGGCTGTGAAGCTCTCTGCAGTGCCAGAGGTCGTGAGCCTCCCCTGACTGCCTCTCTTTTGCCCGTGAGCACAGATAATTGACGAAGCCGATCGCATGATTGACAACATGCACCAGGACTGGCTGCGGCAGGTGGTGGCAGCAGCTCATTCAGCGGTGGAAGAGGGCTCCGCCCCCCCACAGCTGTTCAGGAGGGCAGAGCAGGGGCCTCTCACGGCAGCCAGGTACGTCGGCCGCGTCGGAGAGGAGAACGAGAAGGGAACCGGCAGGGCAGGGAGTGGTGGGCAGGGGATCAGCAGAGGACCCCTTCTGGCTCCTGGAAGCACAGCCAGCTCCTCCTGGGAGTCAGGCCTTGAGCAGAAACTGCCCGCTGTGTTGTCGAGGGTTCCTTTGCCGGGAATGTGACCCCAAAGGCCGCCTTGTGGATCCCAAACCCCTGAATATCAAGGAGCTGGCCTGGGAATGTTGTGTGTGGATCCAGGGGGTGGGGAGCAGAGAGGCACTGGAAAAGCCCCTCATTTGCTTGTGTTTGGGTCGGGAGGCCTGTCCCACCCAGTGCCTTTTCCTTTCCAGAGCTGTAGCGTTCCCAAAGCAAGGAAGGATTGGACACTGATTAATAAAATACGCACGAGGCTTGACCAGCAAGACTCTGGCAGGAGTGCCAATAATAATTCCTCTCCACCCCTCGGCCCAGGTCGTTTTATTCACAAAATAACTTTTTACACAGTGTTCGTAAGAAGCAATCAGATTTCCTCTGAGCATTTCAAAAACCCCACGAGGGACAAAGTTAAAGTTAAAACTACAAAGAAACTATTTCCTACTTGAGCATGCTTGTCCAGAGTAAATAAAATAGGAATAAAATGAGGAATGCATTCAGCAAAACCCTGGAGGTCATAAACAGGAGAGACAGGATGGCAGTATTTATCAGCTCCTTGTGAACTCTCCTCCTGGCCCTTAAGATCTATCTAAAGATTAACAAACTACATCAAAGTAACCTACTATCTTTATGTACTGAGGATGCCTGACCTGTGTTTCAGAATGCTTATACTGTACGTGCTTGTCAGGCATAGAGAAAGCAAATGGCAGAGGTGCAGAGGCTGTGGGATTCGATCAGAAATTATTGTCAATGAATCAAACCCATTCAACGCAATGCTTTCATCGCGGACACCAAAGGCTTGCTCCATGTTTCATAATTCCTCATAGCAATCCCACCTGACCCCCACACTCTGGGTATTTGCACCTCTACACAGAGCTGGCTGCCCCCACGTCCCCCTGCAGAAGCTCCTCTTCTCGGCCACCCTGACACGGAACCCCGAAAAGCTGCAGCCGCTGGGCCTCTACCGGCCTCGCCTCTTCACACCCATCTCCTCGGAGGAGAAGGCGACGGAGACCACGAAGAAGTATGCCCTCCCAGAGGGGCTCTCGGTAAGAGGCAGGGCTTGCAGGCAGCCCACCCACCTGCCGCTCTGGTTCGGGCAGAGCCGGGAAGGCGTGTTTGGCGAGGGGGTGGGGACGTGAATGGTGAGAAGGTGCCCTTTTGGGACAGCACCAGCCCTTCCCTCCAGACTGGACGGCAAATTGAGCTGGGGGAGGCAGAAGGCCCCATTCCTTGGCAGCAGCAGCAGGTGCCTCAAGACCCAGGCAGTTCCATGTAGGGTTTAGGGGCTGAGAAGTTGGGTCCCTGGGAGGGCAGGAATGCACAGAAAGGTTTGCGTTTCTTCGGCTGCATAATTTCTTTCTTGCATCTTCAACAAAAGCTTATGTTCTCAGGCGGCTAACAAAGTAGTAAGAGAGAATAAAAATAGGAAATAATAGTAGAAGACTTAGAAAGAAGGCAGCAAGTTGGCTGGACACTGGTTTAGGGACTCAGCCCTGGTGGTTTGTCCGGGAGGGGATGGTTTTGTGGCTTGAATATCAGAGAGGCAAATGCAGAAGATTCACTGCTTCTAAACTGGGAACTCCATAATGGATCCCGCCCCCCCTTTGGGGGGTGTTACTGGGTTGTTTTTATTTTGATTATATATAATGTGGTTTTTAGGTTGATCTATACTTGAGATCTCCAGGTATAGGGTGGTATGTAAATAATAATAACAATAACAACAATAACTAATAATTAATAGTAAAAAATAGATGGCTTAATGTATGAAAACTGGTGGTCTAAAAACATAGTGGAAGTTGTCGATTCTGAAATGAAAAGGGTGTTTTGCGAGAAACACACTGACCTAGTCTTAAGTTGTTCACTGGAGACACAGACACTTATCGTCTGAGAGTCAGGAGTGTCGGCCCTTGAGCCTGTCCTGTTCCTTGGCCCAAAGTGACCCTCCTCGTCTTCCCAAAGGGATTGGGCAGGAAGCACTTCTGGGGGGCGGTGCACAAACGGCTCTTCTTTCCTCCTCCCGCCACAGCAATACTATGTGCCCTGCAACCTGCGCTGGAAGCCCCTCTTCCTCTTGCATTTCCTGCTGCGGCTGAAGTTCTCCCGCGTCCTCTGCTTCACCAACAGCAGGGACACGTCACACAGGTGAGGCCGTGCAGTAGTGGGATCATTGCGGGCTAGGCTTGAACTTTCATAGGAAGCCGATGTTGGGATACTGCCGGGAAGACGGGGGCATCAGGCAGGCATCGGGCAGATCCCCAGCTGACTCCGGCCACCGGCCGGCAGCCGATCTCCCTTGGAACAGCATCAGTTAGCGACACGAGCCTCAGATACATTTAGAGACCCGTGCATGCTCTATCAGCAGAGTCCGTAAATCTTCTCACAGCAGAAGAGGCAGACAGAGAAATGTGTAAGCATAATGTACAGCATTTTATTCAGCATAGTTCAGGAACAGAGGAAAACATGTCTGCTTGCCTTCGTCTCCAGCAAAAAAGCAGTAACACAAACGGAAGTTCCCAGCAAGTGCTGGAAGTAAACAGGCATGTGATACACAATAGTCCTGCCTGTCCCTTTTTATGGTGGAACGGAACTATATCCTAACAGCCGACAGAGCACTGGTCCCATCTGCTGAGGCAGGGGATCCTTTGGAGTCTCAGCAAACCTCGTGGGAGGGCCGGGCCCTTGATCCTGGGAATCCCCATCCTCTCTTCTCTCTCTCCACCACCCCAGGCTCTTTCTACTGCTTCGAGCCTTTGGCGGAGTGAACGTGGCCGAGTTCTCTTCCAGGCTGAATCCAAGGCAAAGGAAGTTGACACTGAAGGAATTTGAACAGGGGAAGATCCAGCTGTGAGTAACTCCAGGGCAGGGGGGGCTGGCCACATCCTCGTGTCTCAGTTGCACATCACACACTGCCTGCCCCTTGATCTCCAGATGCGCAGTGGTGGTGGGAAGTTTCTGGCACAGTTAGGAGCTGAGTTGAGCCAGAAGAGGACATGCCTTTCGTGGGATGTGTCTCTTCTTCATGACACCAGAAGAAGCCTTTCGTGGGATGTGTCTCTTCTTCATGACACCAGAAGAAACTGTACGAGCCGGGCCTCTTCCCCAACCCACCACACCACAAGCCCCCAGTCCTTTCTCTGTGAACCAAGCATCTCTTTAGTGGCTGCGCTCAGATCTGCTGGGGTGACAGCAATTTCTCTCCTCAACACTCAGGTTAATCAGCACAGACGCCACAGCCCGAGGAATCGACATTGGCGGAGTGAAATGCGTCATCAGCTATGATGCTCCTCAATTCATCAGGACCTACATCCACCGGTAATTCCTTCAGAGGGAGGCTTTCAAATAACGTGGACGAGTTTCCTTTTTCCCCAGATAGCTTGAAGGTGGGGGCCCAGAAGTGGCCCCTCCTGGAAAAGGCCAACCTTCCTCTCTCTGTTTTCAGAGTGGGCAGAACGGCTCGGGCAGGGAAAGCGGGACTGGCCTTCACCATGGTGCTGAAACAGCAGGTAATAATAACAATTATTATTATTTATATGCCACCCATTGGACTGTGTCTCCCCAGCCACTCTGGGCAGCTTCTGACAAATTATAAAAGGTAAAGGACGCCTGACAGTTAAGTCCAGTCGCGAATGACTCTGGGGTTGCGGCGCTCATCTCGCTTTACTGGCTGAGGGAGCCAACGTTTGTCTGCAGACAGTTTTTCTGGGTCATGTGGCCAGCATGACTAAGCCGCTTCTGGTGAACCAGAGCAGCGCACGGAAATGCCGTTTACCTTCCCGCCGGAGCCGTACCTATTTATCTACTTGCTCTTTGATGTGCTTTCAAACTGCTAGGTTGCCAGGGGCAGGGACCGAGCAACGGGAGCTCACTGTCGCGAATTCCTCGTGGCGCTTTAGCAGAACGCTCAGAGTCCCAGGTTCTTTAGTGCAGTATTATTTATTGTGAGCAAAATATATATATACAAATATCTACAGAAGCAGTTCGTATAATCAGACAGGGTACCTGGCTGCACCTTGAGGCAAAAGAAGACTCCACACTGATCTACACCACCACCCACTATTGGACAGGCTTCCCTTTTAATCAGATGACAGCCAATCAACTGCCAGCACATTACTGCTGAGTCATTCTGACCCAGCATCTTCACAGAAGCCTGTTGCATCCACTGGCAAACTGAAGCCTGCTGGCTGAGAGGCTGCCACACGTTCCCAACTATCTCTGGGGTAACCCAGATGCTGCATTCCAGGTGCCTTTGCACAGACGGAGGTCCTCGTAGTGAGGTCTCCTGTGGCTCAGACAGGCTCTGCTTCAAGGACTTCAGTGGCAGCAACTGGGGTAGAAAATGGCCTAGAGAACAGCATGGAGGTGAGCAGGGAGTGGGCCAGTGTGGTGTAGTGGTTAAGAGCGGTAGTCTCGTAATCTGGGGAACTGGGTTCGCGTCTCCGCCCCTCCACATGCAGCTGCTGGGTGACCTTGGGCCAGTCACACTTCTTTGAAGTCTCTCAGCCCCACTCACCTCACAGAGTGTTTGTTGTGGGGGAGGAAGGGAAAGGAGAATGTTAGCCGCTTTGAGACTCCTGAAGGGGAGTGAAAGGCGGGATATCAAATCCAAACTCTTCTTCAGGGACACTGCCTGGTTGCTGGATGCCCAGCTCAGCTGCCCGTCAGTCCACAGCCAGGGCCTCTTCCACTGAATTTAGGTGGTTGGTCAGTAGGACCCTTTCACAACTTTCTGTAATGTGGGCTTTAGAATGCAGCATGGTGTTCACTTCCTTCATTGCTTTCCAGGAGAGGAAGTTTCTGAAGATGCTGAGGGAAGCCGGTCTTCCTGAGTTGGAGCAGCAGCTGGTGAAGAACACATCCCTCCAGCCACTCCTCCCACAGTATGAGGAAGCCTTGGCAGACCTCCAGAAGATAATGAAGGTATCCATCGCTCCACGCAGGAATTTGCCCTGATAGCCAAGGCTGTTGAGCATGCATTTGTGCTTCTTTAGATTCCAAAATGCTGCTTCTGGTCTCTAGGGTGTCTGAGATGGGCCTAATCACCTCCCTCATCTTTCCCTCAACAGGAGGAGCGAGCTGAGAAGAGATCTTGAGCAAGACCAGGCAAGCCAGAGATGTCTCACTGAGAATAATCAGGGGGCTGGAACTCTTACTTTGTGGTTTGGATTCCAATGTCTTGAGTACACAATGGCATTCAGAAGCAAACACTAAGGCTTAAGAGCTCCTGGAAGTATCAAGATACGGAAGGAGTGTCCATCGCACGGCTTAAGGAGAGCCAACTGCCATCCTGCTGTCGTCAAGGCCACCTCTTGATCCCTCAAAGACCAGCAGAACATGCCTTAGCTTGTAAATGAAAGCTCTTTCTCCCTTTGAGCCAAAGAACTGCCAGCCTTTCCCTGTGAGTGGCCCTAATCCTCACCAGCCTTGCCTATCCCAGTGCTACTGCTACTCCCTCCTAGCCAAAAGAGGGGTCAAAGGTTGCTGAGCCCAGCTGGGCTTTAAGAGCGAGGGCTCCATCTCAGTTTTAAATAAAGAAATCAGCCTTTGCCTTCTGGGGCAGGCAAAATGTCTCCGTGTGTGTGTGTGTGTGTGTGTGTGTGTGTGTGTGTGTGTGTTTGCTTCCTTTGCTGTTTTTAAAAGAAAAGTGCCTTCCTCCAGAGGCTATTGAACTACAGCTCCCATCATCCCTTGCAGGCCATGCTGGTGAAGTCCCAGGACTGTGTGTGTGCTAAGGCTGGACTTCAGGAAGTTGCCCTGATCCTTGGGGTGCTGGTGCACCTTTTCCCTGCTGCAGGAGATCTTTCAGAAAGCAAGAAAGCTAAAACCAGCCCCTGTGCAGTTCCACCGTTGTAAAGGTTGCCTTGTGGAGTCGGGGCAGCAGGTAGCCTTTTTATTTTAGTCTATGGATTTTAAGGGACGCGAGTGGCGCTGTGGGTTAAACCACAGAGCCTAGGACTTGCTGATCAGAAGGTCGGCGGTTTGAATCCCCGCGACGGCGTGAGCTCCCGTTGCTTGGTCCCTGCTCCTGCCAGCCTAGCAGTTCGAAAGCAGGTCAAAGTGCAAGTAGATAAATAGGTACCGCTCCGGCGGGAAGGTAAAGGGCGTTTCCGTGCGCTGCTCTGGTTCGCCAGAAGCGGCTTAGTCATGCTGGCCCAGAAGCTGTATTCCGGCTCCCTCGGCCAATAAAGCGAGATGAGCGCCGCAACCCCAGAGTTGGCCACGACTGGACCTAATGGTCAGGGGTCCCTTTACCTTAACCTTTATGGATTTTAAGGCTCCTGATCAGAACAGTTTCAGGATCAAGTATTTTGCTGGGGCAACAGAACCTCATTTCAGTGGCAGAAAAACTCAGGGCTTCTGGGTTGAGGCTCAAGCCCAAAGAAGGTTGGGCTCTTGCGAGGAGGTGGGTTGGGGGACAGGGCCAAAGTAGCCGTAATCCTGCCCTGGGGTAGGGGCAGCTCTTACGAAGTCGTGTTTCTTCACTTGAGGTTATGTGCCTTGAAGGTGTCACTTTTTAAACTCTCAAATCTTGTTTGGCTGCTATCTAGTCCCTCCTGTGAACTTTCCCTCCTTTCTTCTCTGGCAAAACAGGCTTGACGAAGCCTTTGGCGATCCTCGCTGCTTGGGCGTGGGCGGGAGGGAAGTAGGCCAAGGATCAAGGCCTCTTCCAATTGGCTTTGAGGAGCAGCAGCTGCTGACGAGTTGGTCTGGCCAAGGTACAAGAGGCCCAGCAGCCGAGCCCAGATCTCCCAGGAGCGGGAAAGCACTGTTTACTCTCTCCTCCTCTTGCCAGCCGATTCCCTGCTCTGGTTGTCCCTGCTGCTGCTAGGATGGTGGTGGAGCTTTACCTCGACCTCCTCTCCCAACCCTGCCGGTCTGTCTTTATCTTTGCTAAGAAAAACAACATCCCCTTTGAGTTCAAGCATGTGGCTCTCATCCAAGGTGAGACTGGTGGATGGGGCAGGGAGAGTTAGTCACAAGATCCAGGGTGCAGCTGTCTTGAGTTGCAGGGGCTGGGTGGGGGGCTTATTTGATGGGTGGGGGGCTGGCTTGAACTCCCTGTTTGACTCCACCAAGGATGGATTGAAAGAGGGTCACTCTCAAATGGCAAACCAAAGCTGACTGGGAAACTCAGAAACCAAGAGGACAAAAAACTTTATAAAAGAATGGGGGAAAATTATAAGTTATCTACGAGACCACTTTAAGCAGATGGAAACAAGAGCAGGATTCTGACACACTTGTAGTGTAAAAAACATGGATAATATGGTTCAATATAAAAACCGGGGTACAGTACAGACTAATATGCAGTTGTAGATGCTTAAAATAAGACTCTTATGGGTGGAATGGGGGGAAGTAGTGAGATTTGGAGACTCTCCACATACGGTATGACTTTATTGATTTGTGTTTATTTGTATTTTTTGTTTGTAAAATTAATAAAATTTCAGCGGGGGGGGGGGAAGAATGAGGGTCACTCAAGTTGCCTGTTGACTGCTTGACGCAGGTTGTCTGAATGGCTGTGCAGACCTTGGAAGGGTTCAGGGATCTCATTTGGAGCTTTGGGTTCCCTCGCAACTTGATACCATCGAAGAGGTCTTATTTCCTAACATTTAAAATAGGCTTTCGCTGTTTCCAATAGTTTTGCTTTCAAATCGTTGGGGCCTCTTGATAAAGGGCGGGTAAGAATTGATTGTTTCCTAATAAAAGAAGCCGTGAATTTCATATCTGTGGCAAGCAGGGGAAAAACGGTGACTGTTGTAGAATGATTAACTGGAATGCAAGGAGGAGAAAGGAGCTTTGCAAAAAGACCCCTGGCTTGTGGCAGTGTCTGCCGGGGCACGGCTCATTTCCCCCTCCCTTTTGCCCAATCGGTGCAAAGCCTGAGCTGCCCAGACACAGAAGAATTCGCTCTTTGCTGACCTTTGGTATCGATGCAAGGCAGACTTGTGTATCGATGCCTGCTGTGCATTCCCACACCCCAGGTATGTCCATCTGCTTCCATCCATTCCCGAGCAATTGGCTTGTTCTCTGCACTGTTCTGATTCTACTTACTTTGTGGGCGTGAAAAAGATTTATTACCTAAGAGCTGACTTAGGAGAATGGCTGACAAGCACACAGCCCCTGCCCAGGTGCCCCCCCCACCTCCCAACCAAAGCAATCCAGTAAAGAGGTAAGAGGGAGCATGAGTGGGGGGTCAGGTGGGGGTAACCAGCACCCCCCCACCCAGGGTGGGTCAAGGCAGGGTCCTGCGTCATGGTTCTCATGAGTGAATAGCTGCCTCTTGATTCCTTTTGTCCATCTCTCCAGGGCAAAACAGGACAAAGGAGTTTGGCAAGGTGAATCTGCTGGGGAAAGTGCCCGCCTTGAAGGATGGCGACTTCACCTTGGCAGAGAGGTAATAAGGACCCACAGCGCTGTTACTTTGTGTGTTTGTGTTGAGGAGTAGCCACACAGGCCCCCTGCAACTTCACTGTGCACCAGATCCTGCTGGAAACCCATAAATCTGCTTTCCTCCCTTTGGGGTTTTGTGTTTTCGTTTTCAAGGCCTTAACTAAGTTTATGTTGTAACCTTTCCTCATAGGGAATTCACTCCATCCCCTTGATAATTTTGGTTGCCTTTTTTTTTTTTTTTACTTTTTGTAATTCTACAGTACCCTTTTTGAGGTTGGGTAGCCAGAACTATTCACAATATTCCAGAAGCGGTCACGCCACAGATTTGTATAACAGCGTTACAATACCGGCAGGTTTATTCTCAGTTCCTTTCCTAACAATCGCTAGTGTGGAATTTCCTTTCCTCACAGCTACTGCACACTGAGACAGTGTCCAAATTATTATTATTAATAACAACAACAACAACAACAGCTTACATGCTGCCCATCTGATTGGGTTGCCCCAGCCACTCAGGTCCCAACAAAATATTAAAACACGATAAATCATTACGGCTGTACCTCGGCCCCTGGATACCTTGGGAGTCGAACGTTCCGGCTCCCGAACGATCAAAAACTGGAAGTGAGTGTTCTGGTTTTCAAACTTTTTTTGGAAGCCGAACATCCGGCGCAGCTTCCGCTATAGTTTCCAGCCCACCTGCGCAATTGGAAACCAATAGAAAGCCACACCTTGGTTTCCATTTCGGAAGTCGAATGGACTTCCAGAACGGATTCTTTTTGACTTCCTAGATACAACTGTACAATAAAAAACTTCCCTGAAGGGCTGCCTTCAGATGTCTTCTAAGACTAAGTCAAATAGTTGTTTATCTGTTTGACATCTCGCGGGAGGGCGTTCTACAGTGCAGGTGCCACTACAGAGCACGTCTTCATCGAGCTCTTCCCTATGACCACAAGGCCTCATTCTTGGTCAGTCACTGCCAGTCCTATAAGCATCTACTGTATGTGTAATTAGAAGAAGAAGAATTATTTAAATGTTTAAATAATTATTTAGGGAACAAGGGCTCAACAACAAAGACCTGGTTATGTTTAGAATGATACCGCATAGAGAAATGCTCCCTGATACCAAGATGAGGGATTCCTTTGGAATGCAGATAGAGAGAATTGATAAGAATAATGATCTGTTGTGAACTTGAGGGAAGTGTACAATAGATGAGCTTTCCTGCTTTGGCTCATCTTCCTTTTTCTTTTTCCTATTTTCCTATTTTTCTTTTTCCTTTTTCTTTTTTCTTTCCCACAGTTGCTTATGTTCTGTGCCATGTACTTTAATATTTTTTGTAGTTTTTTAGTTTTTTTCATTATTATCATTATTAAGGAATTTTCTTTTGTAATTTTGGTTGTCTATATTTATATGTATTTGTTTAAAGCAAAATAAAAGTATTCAATAATAAAAAAAATTTAGAAGAAGAAGAAAAATCCCCCAACTTGTTTGCATCCGACTGCATCTGTTGTTATTCACTGTTTGTGCCTGCTGATCTTCTTCTCTCTTTTTCTTCTACCCAAATAGCATTGCCATCCTCTTGTACCTAGCAAGGAAATTCAAGACCCCTGACCATTGGTACCCCTCGGACCTGCAGAAGCGAGCCCGCGTGGACGAATATCTGTCTTGGCAACACATGGCCACGCGAATGTGTGGCACCAAACTGTACCTGGCAAAGGTAAGGGCCGGAACTGCCTCTTGGCCCAGCTGACAATTTACAGAGGAGAAGTCTTTGCTGCAACAAGGGGACCAGAGCTGGGCTTAGTTTTGTGGCCTGTGAGTGTATATCTGTTAGAGAGACCCTGCCCACCCACGAGAGATGAAATGCTGGCAGCTGCCATCGTTTTTCCTCCCTTCCTCTCACCTCTCACCCGGTGATGAGAGGTGAAGAGCCATACCTAGAACGTCTCAGGTGTCAATTCCCTCTTGCCCCCTTCTCTGCATAGGCTTTGCTGCCTCTCTTCCTGGGACATCCTGTCCCTCCTGAAAAGATTGAAGAAGCCCTCGAGAGTCTGAAAGAGACCCTGAAGCTGTTTGAGGAGAAGTTCCTCCAGGACAGGCCCTTCATCGCTGGCACGGAAATCTCCTTGGCAGACTTGGTGGCCATTGTAGAAATCATGCAGGTGAGTGCTGGGGGGTGATGAGGTCTGGGGGCCTCTGGGAGGAAATGGCCTTTGGCTCCTGGCGAGGCTGAGGCACCTCATCACTTCCTGCTAGCCAGAGCCAGGTGGGATCACCACATCTCAAAAAGAAGAGGTCAGAGCTGCAAACTGGGAACCCAAGTGACCAGGTGGCTGAATAGTAGTAGTAGTAGTAATAATAATAATAATAATAATAATTTATTATTTATACCCCGCCCATCTGGCTGAGTCTCCCCAGCCACTCTGGGCGGCTCCCAATCAAATGTTAAAAACAATACAACATTAAATATTAAAAACTTCCCTGAACAGGGCTGCCTTCAGATGTCTTTTAAAGATAGGATAACTGCTTATTTCCTTCACATCTGAAGGGAGGGTGTTCCACAAGGTGGGCGCCACTACTGAAGCATCTTTCTCTCTCTTTCTTTCTTTCTTTCTTTCTTTCTTTCTTTCTTTCTCTCCTCTCCTCTCCATCCCCCCCTCCAGCTAGCTGTCTGTCTGTCTCTCTCTCTCTCTCTCTCTCTCTCACACACACACACACACACACACGGAGCTTTTTAGTTTAGGAACAAGACGAGTCCAGTCGGGACAGAAGTGTACAAAATTAAGTCTGTTGACACAGCCTTGCTGTGAACATTTTGCTTTGTGGCAGGTGTTTAGACCAGGGGTCATCAAACATTTTCAGCAGGGGGCTGGTCCACTGCCCTCAGACCTTGTTGGGGGGGCAGACTATATTAGGGGGGAGCAACAAATTCCTATGCCCCACAAATAACCCAGAGATGCTTTTTAAATAAAAGCACACATTCTACTCATATAAAAACACACTGACTCCTAGACCATTCGCAGGCCAGATTTAGAAGGCGATTGGGCCGGATCCAGCCTCCAGGCCTTAGTTTGCCTACCCATGGCTTAGACCCTCAAAATATAAACCGTGAGAGAGACAGACAGGGATTTAACATTTATTCTTGACAGAATGAACAACCAACGTCTTGGTGAATGCAGTTCATGGGCTGTTTTGCTCAGAAACCTTGAAATACGAGGTCTCTTTGTTTCCTAACCTCAGGGACTCCAACTGAGACTTTGCCTGGGTGGCCCTAGGCCCACCTATTCCTTCCCCAACATCCCAGTAGACCCTCCCTCTCACTCCCACATTCCCTCCTCCAATCAGTCCCCCCACCAATCCAGTCACACTCCAGAACAGGAAGCGTGGGAAGAGAGAAGTGGAAGATTTTCTCTCTTTTGGAACATTAGAACTGGGGTCCTCAGGAGGTGAGGCGAGCCTGGTCATGTCAAAGGTATGTCTAATTGTCATTTTCCCACAGTGGCCAGCCAGAAGCAGGGACTGGGTGCCACAAAGGTGCTACCCCACTTATGATGTATATCCTTCAGCATCTCACTGATCAAAACTGGGACACTCATTTTTTTTGGTGCAGAGCTCTCGCTGGAACCAGCTGACTCATGCAAGGGTTTTGTCTGGTGCTCTTGCACGTGCCAACTGACTAGCATGAGAGCAAAAAGCAATTGTACAGTGGTGCCCCGCAAGACGAATGCCTCGCAAGACGAAAAACTCGCTAGACGAAAGGGTTTTCCGTTTTTTGAGTCGTTCCGCAAGACGAATTTCCCTATGGGCTTGCTTCGCAAGACGAAATGTCTTGCGAGTTCTTGCGAGTTTGTTTCCTTTTTCTTAAAGCCGCTAAGCCGTTAATAGCCGCTAAGCCGTTAATAGCCGCTAAGCCGCTAATAGCCGTGCTTCGCAAGACGAAAAAACCGCAAGACGAAGAGACTCGCGGAACGGATTAATTTCGTCTTGCGAGGCACCACTGTATTTTGGTCAAGCACGCTGGCACGAGCCAGCTGATTTGCGCCACAGCACAAGACAAAAAACGGGACATTCCAAGATCTCTAATCAGAAGCCGGGGTGTCCCACTCAAATCGGGACTGTTGATGGGTATGGTGTTGATAGCTGTGGGGCAGATTTCCTTGCACATTTGGCAATGATAGCTTTTCTCAAAAGGCATGCAGAGTGAGCTCAGACACCTGATTCCCTCCCACCTACCCCTGACAGAAGAACAATGCAGGCACAGTGTCTCTTCTTGCCAAACAAATGAAAGCTTGGGAACATTTCTTCTGTCCTTGCTTAAAAAGAAACAGCCTAGCACGTTTGCAAGTTCATTCTTATCCCAGATTCATTCTTCCCAGCCAGTGGCGTAGCGTGGGGGGTGCAGGGGGGGCCGGCCGCACCGGGCGCAACATCTGGGGGTTAGGGTGCGCAAATCCACGGGTTAGGGGGCGCAAATCCACGGTTTAGGGGGTGCAAATTACTTGCCTTGCCCCGGGTGCTGACAACCCACGCTACGCCACTGTTCCCAGCTAAGCAACAGGAGTTATTTTCAGCCTCTTAATCCCAAGTCTTTTTTTCCCTTATTTTTTTAAGTAGAAGTGTCAACATCCCACTTTACTTCAAAGGCACATAGCAGGAAGTAGAAATCAATTAGCAATCCAGGTGTTAATAATACTAGCCAGGCTGGCTTTCCAAAATAACTATTGTTTGTGTTTGATTGTATACCACATACTCATTATCATTTCTAAGTGGTGTTCGTAAAAATGAACCATACAGATAGTTGCATTTTCCACTGAAAGTTCCTCTAAGCATTCTGCTCTAAGGATAAAAATCTGTGGAGCCGGGCTCCTCACAGACTGTAAAGACTTCAGTCATGACTTTGACCTTCTCTGATTCTGCATGGGCGGAATTATTATTATTATTGATTGAATTTATATACCACCCTATGCCTGGGCATCTCAGGGCGGTTCACAGAATACAATCAAGATATAAAACCACAAAATACATAATAAAAATAAAAACAACAACCCAATAGCCCCCCCCCCAAAAAAACCACATTTGAAAAGGGCATAGGATGTCAATCAGGTCAAGCAAAGGCCTGGTTAAAAAGGAACGTTTTTGCCTGGCGCCTAAAGGTGTATAATGAAGGCGTCAGGTGAACTTCCCTGGGGAGAGCATTCCACAGACGGGGAGCCACTGCAGAGAAGGCCCTGTTCTCGTGTTGCCACCCTCTGGACCTCTCGAGGAGGCGGCACACAAAGGAGGGCCTCAGAAGAGGATCTCAGGGTCTAGGTAGGGTCATATGGAAAGAGGCGGTCCTTGAGGAATCCAGAGCATTGAGTGGCTGACGAGACCGATGGCATTTTATTTGCATGCGTACAAGCAAATCCTTGATCATTCTTCCACTTGATCATTCTCTCTGCCCCCCTGTCGCTCTTTATTTATTTTTTTTAAAAAATAATATTTATTAAAGTTTCAAACAAAATTACAATAATACAAAAAAAATATAAAAAGAGAAAAAAGAAAATACAAAAAACAGAAAAAATAGAATAACAATTAAAAACAAATCAGTCTTTCCATATCTTGTCTTTCGTTCACTTGTTTCCCTGACCTCCTCACACCTCCCTTTTTTGCATTCCAGTTCAGTTAATTAATTCAGCAAATCCTTTCCCTCTTTGTTCTTATCTTAATCCTTTATCTTAGTATATTATTACTTCAAATTCCCATCTATTAACAATCCATTTTTACATAGACCTTAATAACATTGCTGCTAAAACCACTTAACTTCATTCCAACATCATTCTAACATTCATTAATTTTGCAATATTTCTGTAAATAGTCTTTAAATTTCTTCCAATCTTCTTCCACCGACTCTTCTCCCTGGTCTCGGATTCTGCCGGTCATCTCCACCAGTTCTTTAGACTCCCAGCATTGAATGCCCTCTTGAACAGGTGCTGGGGCTGCATCCGCGCCAAATCAGCACCCGCTCACTCTCCTTCTCTTTGCAGCCCGTAAGCGCCGGCTACGACGTCTTTGAAGGTAGACCCAAGCTGGCCGCCTGGCGCTCCAGAGTGGAAGAAGCTGTGGGGAAGGACCTCTTTACCGAGGCCCACAGGGAGCTCTCCAAAGCCAAGGATGTGACGGAGGATCAACTCCCTCCTGAAATGAGGGAACAAATCAAGCAGCACTTGCTGAAGTATATGAAGTAAACGCCATTGGGGGGCAGAGTCCCCCTCAATAAAGCTCAAGAACCAACCAACACGTTTTGGTCTCTTCAAATATAATTGGAGCAGCAACGCTCCCCACCCCGGTGCCTCTTCTCCTTATTGTCATCTCTGGGACTCAGGGCTGGTCACCAGGAGAAGAGTTCAGGCCATGAAGCAGAGGGCCCAGGGGGGTACGGGAACCTTTCGGTCCAATCTCGGAAAGCCTTGTGACTGGGCTCCTTTGCTGGACGACTTCTGGGCAAAAGGAGCCACCCCTCTAGAAATTCTGCCCATTCTTCCATGTCCAGAGAGAGTTGTGGTTCTTCCTGAATCAAAACACTGCATCCATTCCAAAACCCTAACTGGGAGTGGCCAACTGAGGGGTGGGAGGATCCATCCTGTCCCTCTTTGTGTGTCTTTCCATCTGTGTGAAGAAGACCTTTAGGTAGGTGGACTAGGGAGAAGGTCAAAGAGGACTTCACATGCTTTACTCTCATTTCCCCACATTGATGGGGCAAGGTGCCTTAGGACGGAGGAAGTCCTCTGTGTGCTGCTTCATCTTTTGTGTCTTTCTTTCACCCTTGGATCCTTTGTCATAGACCTGTGCCCCCTCCCTGTACAAAGGGGGTGGGACAGAACTTGCCTTGGCCGCCCACCTAAGGAACAGCCTCAACTACCATGCAGTTAAAGCTGCTAGCCACTACCCAATGATCCTTATGCAAGGCCCAACCTTGCAAAGAGGGGCAGGATCCTGGTGCTGCTCATTCATCTCTTTCAAGAGCCTGATCCAATAAAGAGAGGGGGTTCTAGCTGCTCTGGCTGGGCAAGATCATAGTCTTGCCTGGGGGGGCGGCTTCTCCATAATGTTGAGAAGTATGTAAATACAACTGTTACTGGGAGGAAGAGATGGGTCTGTATCAAGAACAGGGCTTTTTAATTTGATCATCATCATCATTTTTTATTTGTATGCCGCCTTTCCACTGTTAAAAAGAACCAATGCTTAAGGCGGATTACAGCATGACAAGATTTAGGTAAAGGTAAAGGTACCCCTGCCCGTACGGGCCAGTCTTGACAGACTCTGGGGTTGTGCGCCCATCTCACTCAAGAGGCCGGGGGCCAGCGCTGTCCGGAGACACTTCCGGGTCACGTGGCCAGCGTGACATCGCTGCTCTGGCGAGCCAGCACAGCACACGGAAACGCCGTTTACCTTCCCGCCAGTAAGCGGTCCCTATTTATCTACTTGCACCCGAAGGTGCTTTCGAACTGCTAGGTTGGCAGGCGCTGGGACCGAACAACGGGAGCGCACCCCGCCGCGGGGATTCGAACCGCCGACCTTTCTATCGGCAAGTCCTAGGCGCTGAGGCTTTAACCCACAGCGCCACCCGCGTCCCTATGACAAGATTTACATAACTACAAAAGTCATAAACAGTAAATAAACCACATTAAAAAAAAATACACAACCAAATGGGAAACAATTTCCACATAAATCAAAATCTGAAACTAAGAATACAGCATTAATATCACAGCCATTTAAACAAAAAACAAAACAAAACAGAGCCCTCTCTGCCTAGCCGTGGCAGCAGTCCTTTACAGAGCCCATCAGGCCCTGCCCTGGGCCAGGTGGTGAGTGGCAGGACTGGGCCCCTCAGGTACTGAGCAGAGGAGTCCTGGGTGGTAGCTGCAGCGGAAGTTCTTATAGGCCTGATCCTAAATGACTGGGAGTCAGGAGCAAGCAGTGTGGCAGCTATGTCTGGGAATGACACCAATGATTCAGGATGGGGAAAACTCAAGCGAGACAGCAAAGATATCACAGAAAATTCATCCAAGCAGCATCAGTGGGCAGCAAAACGGCTGGTGAGGGTCAAGTGTCAAGTGATACATGTTGGGGCAGAAACATCCCCACTTCTTTCCTCTCCACAGTGATGTCGGCAAGTACCTGGGGAAAGAGGCCTTGGGCTCAGCAAAAACGTTGAGCCAAGTGTGCGGCCGCTCCGGGGGGAAAAGGTGAATTCCAGACTAGTGATGGAAACTAAAGCTGTCAGTACTTGCAGTGTCTATTCAGTTCTGTGATGCAACCACATTTGGAATCCCATGTACAGCCCTGGTCTCCCCACTTCCAAAAGGGTATTGCAGAGTTAGGAAAGGTTGCACGAAAGAACAGCCAAGATGATCCAGGGGGATGGAGGAAGTCCCCTGTGAGGAAAGATCACAACGGTTGGGGCTTCTTTATTTAGAAGAAAATACAGTGGTACCTCGGGTTAAGTACTTAATTCGTTCCGGAGGTCCGTTCTTAACCTGAAACTGTTCTTAACCTGAAGCACCACTTTAGCTACTGGGGCCTCCTGCTGCTGCCGCGCCGCCGGAGCACGATTTCTGTTCTCATCCTGAAGCAAAGTTCTTAACCTGAAGCACTATTTCTGGGTTAGCAGAGTCTGTAACCTGAAGCGTATGTAACCTGAAGCGTATGTAACCCTAGGTACCACTGTATGTATGGCAGCGAATGGGAAATGTGATGGAGGCTTAGGAAATTGTACGTGAGATGGAGAAAATGTTGTTCCCTCATCCAGTGAAACCGATTGGCGGTAGTTCCAGGGCAAAGAATGGTCTGATGTTTCATAGGTTTCATTCCCACACGACTTGGCCAAGGCCACTAGCTTAGACAACCTTAAAAAGGCAATTAGACAAATTAATAGCTGAAGTGGAGGAGAAGTCACTGTTATTAATTATGATGGTCAAGTTGAGCTTTGGGGGTTTGCTGAAAGCATCTGGTCAACCACGGTATGAAGCCAGATCCTGTATCTATTGTTATAATGGGGACACTCCTTGCTCCCCACAGATCCAAAAGGACCTTCTTTCCGAGACATGTAGCCACCATGTGACACTTGTAAGCCCTGGACAGCCCACTTAGAAAACAGACAGGCAGTCATTCAAGAACAAATTAAGAGCAGATGCTGTCCCTTGCTGTCGACTCCTTCGGTTCAAACCTCCCCTTCTGATAAGCCTTTCTCTCCCAGAAGTTTCATCTTTGCTGGATGTTGGTACAGTTAGCTCTACTGTGTCCTTGCAGGCTGTGGCTTGTTTCTTGGGTCAGCAGCAATCAGGGGATGGAATAACAACAACAATTTATTACTTATATGCCACCCATCTTAGTGAGTTGCCCCAGCCACTCTGGGCAGCTTCCAACAAATTATAAAACTGCAGTAGAACATAAAACAGGGCTGCCTTCAGATGTCTTCAAAAAGTCAGATAGTTCTTTACTTCCTTGACATCTGATGGGAGGGCGGGCGCCACTACCAAGAAGGCCCTCTGCCTGGTTCCCTGTAGCTTCACTTTCCACAGTGAGGGAACCGCCAGAAGGCCCTCAGAGGTGGAGCTCAGGGTCTGGGCTGAATGTTCAGGTTCATTGGTGCAATAAGAGTCTCTCTCCACTTGGCCAAGCCACCTACTGCACTTTCTGCCTGCCTGTCAGACACCTGCAAATGGTGGGCGTAGAAATTTCCGCAGATCGGAATGCGTGCGGTATCTGTTGGTGTGCTAGAGGTGTACGAAGCACCTGGGAAACCAGCCAGCGTTTTGCTGCCACTTTGCAAAGTTCATATTTCAGTGAGCAGTCTCTCGGGTCAAAGAGTCTCTCCTGGGCTTTTAACCGATCCAACCAGGCCTTGAGGGTCTGCGCCCTCCTCGCCGACTGCCACCGCAGGCTCTGCCAGTCGCACATGCTTCGCTTCTTGTACTTTTCCAGAAAAAAAGAAAGCAAAAGTCCCTGCCTGCTGGAGTCAATACTCCGCCCCTCAGGGAGAACATCTGGCTGGCTGGCAGGCTCCCGCGTTCTGCTACTCCCTCGCTCTCTGCCCTGCTGCAGTTCCTGTTCTTCCTGGGAGGGTGTTCTGCCAAAGGCAGACTACACAGAGGAAAATCTCTGCTCTCCGCTGCTCTGCCTCTCCATGCCCAGGGACCACCATGGTGCTGGAGCTGTACCTAGACCTCCTCTCCCAGCCCTGCCGAGCCGTCTACCTCTTTGCCAAGAAGAACAACATCCCCTTTGAATTCAGAGCTGTGGAGCTGTTCAAAGGTGAGCTAAACGCACCTGCCTTCCGGCTCCTCTGTGCTGGCGGTGAAGGAGGGGTGGGGGCGCTGAGGTCAGGGTGGGTCAATTTATCTCCCGAAGAAAGAGAAAGTGCAGAGATGTTGCGTGGGGGAGAGGGAAGACCCCTGTCTCTTGATGACTTGGAGAAACCACGATGTTCAGGGGGCTCCAAAGGTGGGCTTCTTCCTCATTTCACTGCCTGCTTTCAAAAGACCTGGTTTTAAATGTACCTCTTCCCACCCACCCCTTCTCCCTAGCAGGAGACATTCACTGAGTTTAAAGCATGGCAAGAATTCCCTCTTTCTCGCCATGTTTTAGACTCGGAGAATGGAAAGACGATAAAGTCCCTACCAGAGACGAATGGCCGATTAAGTTTGATGGATTATGCCGAAATGGCAAAAATGACCAGAAGAATCGGAAATCAGGAAGACCAAAATTTTAATAAGGAATGGGGAAAATTTATAATATATCTTTAAAAAAAACCATTGTAAACAGCTAAAATCATTAGTAGGGTTGGAATAACACTTGTAGTTTAATGGTGAATTTTGGACATAATGGAGATGTAAAAGATTTGGATTACTGTAAAAGATGCAGGAGGAAATGACTAATAGAACCCACAAAGGGGAGGAGGGAGAATTCCAGGAGATTCTTTGGAATCCTGTTTTTATGTTGGATATGTGATTGTAAAACTTTAATCTAAAAAAACAATTTTTTTAAAAAAAGTATTGCCTCTTTCTCCTCCAAATGTTCATGTGCCAAGTTCTGACATATGTTAGTGACTCTGAGACCAGGAGGAAGAAGAGTTGAAACAATCTGGGATTAATTTTCCCAGGAAAAAATAACTCTGGGGGACTTGCCCGGAAGTTGGCCTCAACCCTCCTCTGTGCAATGGGCCTGGTTAGAAGGATCACTTGGTAGGGGTTGGTCCTGCTGGGACAGCCCCCTCTGGTGTAAGGAACTTGGTGT